GCCGTGTCCCGGAGCGACGAGACAAAAACATTAAAACCCATTATAAACGAGGCATTTGTTGCATCTAGTGGGAACATAATTACAGATTATAATGACTTATACTGTCTTTTACGCGTTGCATCGTGCCGCATAAACATATAACCATGTCTGCATTTGTGATCGGAGAACGAAGCGGATATCGTCCTCTTTTGGAAGACCAAACAAAGTAGTTTCGCTTTCACAACGAAACACAGCATCTTCACGACATGGCGGCAGCAACAATACTACAGTGAGAATAAAAGTTACGCCTTCTTTGCGTGAACATTTGGGCGGCGTTATGCAAATCTTCCCACATCGTGACGTAGACATGTGGGGGCGTGTTAGAACGAGCCGTTTTAGGTAGGTGTGGTTGACTCTTAACTATTATAAAGAATATCTCTTCGGATTTGAGACTTTAGTCTTTGCAACTTTACAGATCTTCTTTAAGCACCAAGAGCTTGTAACACTTCAACACTTGAAATGACCCCTTTAATGAATTAATGAAACTTTAAAGTGCTTAAATATGATCCTAATTCAGGAAATGATTCTCAAATAATGCTGTTTAGGAACTCTTTTGGTACATAGTGTGTCTTTATAGCAGATAATAAACAACTGAGAAGCAACTAGGCAGAAGAGTACTGATTCTTCAAGGAACTTCCAAAAATACCAAGGTGCTAAATGTCCAAAAACATGCTACTAAATGTACTACATTGGTATGATCAGCGAGGTAATAAACATAAGGTATAAGTATATGTAATTGATGTAATTGCTTATGTTTGAGCTGAGCTAATTCCTCTTCTTCTTTCCCTGACAGAAAAGAAAAACACGTTTATCTCACCCAAGTGACTCCTGTGGCAGATAAAGTTTTTGAAGTATGAATAAAGCTAGTGTAAAGCTAATGTTATACTTTCTGCATGTGCGAGTGTGCAAGGGTCCGCTAGGGTCAGCGTGACATAAAAATGTCATTGGAGGGTGCATGTGGAGGCTCTGGCCCTTTCCCAAATCGCACCCTAAACCCTTGCTGTCTTCCTCTGAGTCCACACTTTCGTGACGTAACGCTGCTTTGACTGTGGGTAAAAGTCTGCTGCGGAGCTCGCCTCAGTGTGGGCTCGGCAGAAGTGTGCATCGAGGGCGCAAAAGGGGCCCTTGTGAGCACCCTTCTAAAAGCTAAAATGACTAATGGGACACCCTACGGTCTCGTGGACTTAACGGACATGCGCACGTGACAGCCATTGTAAGACCGCAAGTGCACAATGAGGGGGCCAATCGAGAGGCAGTTGATGTCTTAGCATTGCTCCAGGTCTGAACAGGAGCCGAACGCCGGTCTTCCCTCGTACAGAGCTCTCCAACCCGAGTTGGAGGCATCTGTTGTGACCACCTTCCTTTTGGAGGTCAGTCCAAGTGGGACACCTGATTGAAACAGGAAAGCGGTTTTCCAAGGGGCCATAGCTCTGATCCAGTGGTGGGGCACCCCGAGATGAGAGCATCCCTGGTGCCAAGCGTGGGAAGGGACATGGGCTTTGAGCCAGTACTGGAGGGGCCGAATGTGAAGCAGGCCCAGAGGAAGCGGCTGACATAAGGCCAAGCATCTTCTGGAAATCCCTGTGGGGCTTCCGGCATAATCCACGCCCGCATCCGGGCAGAATCGCTAATTGTCGAGGTAGTTCACAATGCGGATTCCTATCTGTCTCAGAGGGGAAAGAGCCGTGTCTTTTGTACCACTGTAAACCACTTGTCAAACCCATCCACGGCAGGGCCAAACAGTCCCTTAGGAGAGACTGGCGAGTCTAGTAAGGTGACCTTTTCTGCATCCCTGATCTCTGTTAGATTTAGCCACAGGTGGCGTTCCAGCACCACCAAATTGGCCATGGCTTTGCCGATCGCCTGCGTGGTGGCCTTAGCAGCGAACAGCGCCAGGTCAGTTGCTGTGCGCAGCTCCCTAAAGACATCAGAACTCTGTCTGGATTCGTCCATGGTGCGGAGAAGTTTGGCCTGGAACACTTGAAGCACCGCCATCGTGTGAAGAGCTGAGCCAGCCTGGCCAGCCGCTGTATAGGCCGTTTGCTAGGGCTGAGGTAGTCCTGCAGGGCTTCGATGCGTGCTCTTCATAGGCTTTTAACCCCGGGAACGATGGAGGGCACAGGTGCGCAGACACTGCCTCTTCCAGAGGGGGGAGCTTGCTGTAAACTCTTTCTTCAGTGCTGTCAACAGTGTCAAGTCAAGTCACCTTTATACAATACTGATTGTGTCAATGCAGCTTTACAGTGTCAAACAGGAAAATAGTTTGTCAATGCAAGAGGACAATAACAATGAGTCATTTTTCCAGCTAAAGTCAGTTCATTGATGATTCAGTGATGTCATCATCCAGTTCAGCTCTCTTCCAATAGTGTCTGTGCAATCAGTAAACCGTCCCCAACTAAGCAAGCCAAAGCTGACAGTGGCAAGGAACCAAAACTCCATCGGTGATAGAAATGGAGAAAAAAGGTGAAAGCGATGGAAGTAGAGGGATTAACACGTGCCAAGTAGAGGGCGCGCCACGTCCTGGTGAGTTCCTCGTGAACTGCCAGCAGGAACGGGGTGGGCCGTTGGTGGGAGGAATGTTGACGACGTCCCTTCAGGTACCACTCGTTAAGGAGGCTGCGGGCGGGCTCCTCCGGAGCTGACCAAGCCAGGCTGAGATCCTCCACAGCCTTAGTTAGAACGTGGATCAGCTCGCTGTACACGCAGGGCCATGTTGTCTGCGTCAGAGGCGGGGTTTCAGGCTCTTCGCTGGAACATGCCCACTCTTCAGCATCTGAAGCCGTCAATGACATAGAGTCATCAACGACAGCTTCTTCCTCAGATGCACCGAAGGAAATCAAGCTGCTCGCAGCCGACGAGTGGCGCTGATCCTCACGTGTGAAGCACACAGGCGAATCGAGGCGTTGGGGAGAGAGTGAAGCACGCGTGAGCTGCACCGGCATTAGTTCACTCGAGCTCGGTGTTAGAGCCCTGCTGCTCTG